ACTTATCTAGATTTCATTTTTTTCCAGTGAAATGTATTCTATTAATTGCATGGTAATGGAAAGAGGATTAGCTGTTTGTTGGGACTTTTCTCGCTGCTGCAAAATTCCTAAAACTATTAGATAGCTATAGAAAATATGGAATCATTTTGATCTTTGATAAATGTTTGTTCAAGGATATAATTGAAAAAGAATTGCATCATCAGTTGGAGGCTTTGAAACTAACTTTTAGTTGCCTGGTAACTTTACTTCAGACTCGAATAAGTGTCAAAAACATAATAACATGGCGTTCTATTTCTGCCGCATGTTAACTTGTAACCAGAAATATATCAAGAAAAATGAAAAACATGTCAGCTAAGCATAGAGGGACGCACAACATTTAATTACAAAGAGAGAGCTGTTAAGATCCAATTCTAATCTAAAGTTTCAGCAGTTTGCTTTTACTTCTAAAAGATTAGTGTTTAGTGCAAAATAGAGCAGACAGCTCTGGTATCTGTATAATTACAGGCAAATTACATTCATTATTGTAATTTACATCTCATCTCCAATCCAATTATTAGCAGTTTGACCTGCAAAGCATGAAAATCTAAAATAGGCGACCAAGATGGAAGCGAGGGATGGGAGGAGGACAAAAAAAATAGGAGGTAGAGTTTGGGACTTTGGGAGTTGTGCGGAGGAGGGGGGGGATCAATATGGCTCTAGAAGATAATGATTTTAAATAGAAATAATTCTCTGCCTGAGAGTACAGCTGCCAAGGGCAGCACTGCAAAGCTTTCAAGTCTGATATGAAATATTACCGCCAGTAATTTGCTCATCTGCATCCCTAGAGGGACCAACTCCTGCCAGACTTGTCCATCTGCTTCTCCATGTATGGACGTATATGAACCCATCCGGCCTCACCACAAATAAAGGCAATTCTAAGCAACTCTTGGAGGGGACATTCAAACTTGCTATCAGAGGAAAAACTATTGAAAATAAAAGGATTTATAAAGCACAAACCTATGTAATTCATAGCTAAAGAGTCTCCTGGTCATGGATATTTAAGCCACTTAGTTCCTTTACTTTGTGACATATGGTAAAACAAAAGTATCTTTATTGGGAGCAGAGCTTTAAACAAAATTATTCTTGAGCCAAAATTGTTTAGTATGAGCCAACCCCTCAAGTAATTTGTCTTTTTCAGATAATCTGATAAAGGCTTCATTGAAAAAATAAACAACCTGACCTCTGTCCACCACATATGTCTGCAGAGGACTACTGAAAAAGATGTCAGGTTATCATCTTAATATTTCTCTTAGGCCTTATGGCTAAGTCTCTGCCTTGCTGCCATCACTGAGCAAGCTCTATACTGATGGCCAGCGGATCACTCTTTAGTAGAACCTGAAGCTTTAATTGGAGCTGTTGAACCTGATTAATCGAGGTTCTTGATGGTTTAATAAATGGCTGATTTGGACAAAGAACCACTGGCAGCAGTGACTTTGCCGTAAAGCTCATCCAAAGCAAAGTGATGTTGACAGCATCCGTTTTTCTGAATTTAACCACGGCTGACAGTAAAGAATGATTTTAAGCATCGCTTCTGTTTACGGCAAACATTCTGCTCTTCTAATTCAATTTGAATAGGAGAGTAAGATCAGTTTGCCTGGCATCATTAGAGCTGTCCCTTTAGCTAACAATAATATCACAGGACTGATAACAGTTAAACCAAAGACTAATGCATTTATGTGATAACATATTTTTTACAGTATGTCTGAAGTGGAAAACTGAAGTTTTTAAAAAAGATTTTCTTTTTGAATCCTTGCTTTCATGATTACACTGTTTAGCGGCGATGCAAAGATATCCGTTGATCTCTAATCTTAAGATTTTTAAAATAGAAACAATCATTTTGTAAAGTCTCAGGTGGACATTTTATTTTGTTTTCACACGCATTTGTAGGGGATGGCATGCATCATAGATTCTAAACCTACGAATCGCATGGTTGGACACTATTACATGCAGTCAGGTTCTACAGATAAGCCATTTATATGATTCTGGGGTTAAAGCAACAAAACCAAATGTTGCAGGACTTAATTAGACCCCATGCACAACTTGAGTCCTGTTTAGGATAAAAAAAAGTATTTTTACCTAATTTTTTCAAAGCAAAGAACAGTATTTTTAATCTTTAAAATGTACTTTTGTCTTTAATTTGCACTTTTGTATATATTTTCTCTTATTATTCTGCTTGGGGTCTCAGCACTGCTGTTGTTATGGATTCACATGACCTAAATAATCCCTTGTCACTGCAAAAACGATCTAGAAATAAGTAAAAATTTCTTAAAGTAAGTGTATTTACCCTTAATTTAGGCAGGTAAATGAGATAGTTTGCCAATGGAATGAGTAATTTTACTCTTACAGTAAGATAATTAGATAACATGTACTTCCAATAAGACAATGCAATTATGATTTTTTTATTTTAAGTGTAAATTGTCTTGTTCCATTGGCAAAATGTCTCTTTTGCCTCCTCAATTCAAGAACAAATGCACTTATTTTAAGAAAAAAATGACTTATCTAGGTTTAGATTTTTTGCAGTTTGGATTCTACTCTTATGATTCCTTTGTTTGGTGCATCTGTCTCATCATCAAACATCACCTACGCTGCTGCCATTTTTTTTTTTTTTTTGCTTTAAGTCATAAAAAATTGCTCCATGGTTTGTGGTTGACTTCTGTTCTGCTCTACAGTGGTTTGGTTTCTCTGTCCAAATTCTCTCCATGTCATATTTCTTCCTGACCTGAAGCTGCTCCTTCAATCTAAGCTCTTACTGTGTTTCAAACTGTGACACAAAAGGACAAACATGACAACAAACCAGAAAGGTGAAGTGTAACACTAGATGGCCTTAAATCTTAGAAGTTATTAGTTTCTGTTATGTGTGGCAGTCAGGTTAAACACAGCTCTGCGTTTCAAATAACATCTAAAAGGAACACAGAAAATAAAAAAAATAATCTTAGTTTAATATTTTTTTACACTCCAAACTATATTGTTCCAGAAATGTTCAAATTAGAAATCAATTCAAAAGATGTCTAAGATTTCAGCCTTAGATATTCAACAAGATTCAACACTTATTCTACTGAACTCTTCAGTAAAGTGAAAACTTTTAAGCAAAGCACCAAATAAATACCATAAATATGTGATAATGAATTTGTGTTGGTCATTAAGGTTAGATTTTAGGCTATGCATGCTTCGTTATATAGACACTTTCTTTGACAGTACACTGGAGAAACGATCTAGAAATAAGTAAAAATGTCTTAAATTAAATGTATAATATATAATATGAATAGTTAAATTAGATGATTTGCCAATGGAATGAGTATTTTAACTCTTAAAACAAGATAATTAGTAATATGCACTTGAAATAAAACAATGCAAGTGTGTTTTGTTATTTTAAATGTAAATTGTCTTGTTCCATTGGCAAAATGTTTCTTTTACCTCCTCAAATTAAGAACAAATTCACTTATTTTTAGAAAAAAATGACTTATCTAGATTTTTTAGACTAAAAAAGAGCTTGTTGAGTTAGCTAATAAAAGTCATCTAAGTACCAAAGAAACATCTTAGGAAATTTGAGAAAAGCAGACAAAAGAACTGAGGTTAACTACAGTGTGTGCTAAATGTACAACTGTTAGAAAACCTTCATTTCCTTAGTTTAATGAAAGGTTTCAGCTATCTACTTTAAAATCAGCACCTACTTTGTAAATTCTTCTCATTGATAAAATACTGCTTGGCTATGTCAGCTTTTTATTTTTCCTCCATTACTTTAGAATGTTTCAGAGAAGCTGCATGATATTAGAAAATCTGTTAAATGTTAAAAAACTTTATTAGCTGTGATACATGCCTATTTCGTTCTTTTCTTCCTTTCTCATCTGTGCTTCCCACTCTGTGGCCTTTAACATTTTGGACCATGATATTTGTACATGGTGTGGGCATCTGCCGCCATGAGACTCTGTCCGACGGGTTAAATGTTACATTAGCATTAAAAAACAAGTAGATAACACACAGGATATATATTAGCCAGCAATCACTGTGCTAAGCAATCTATTATGGGATGAATATTGCTCAAAGTGATAATCTCTACGGAGCCCCCTGGGGGACATGGGGATTTTTTTTTTCTTTTGCGTTCCCTCGCAAAATTTTGCATTACCTCGCAAAACCTTTAGAGAAAGTTTTGCGTTCCCATCCAAAACCTTTTGCGTGAGAACGCAAAACCTTACTTTGGTAAAGTTAGAAAGATATTCACAGTAGTGCGATCACCAAGAGCCCCTTGGTGTGTGTGGTAATTTTGGAGTCACTGCACTTTATGGCAGTGGAGTTATTGATTGTTATTTGCAACGTTTTGCTGTTGTTACCATTTGCAGACGGTCCCTAACCGCTCCCCTGGCCGCTGCCTGTGCATAGAGATCAATGTAATACATCCAGCTCGGAGAACGGCTCGTTTTTCTCGGAAATAACGCTTTTTGATTGTTGTAGTATGTAGTCTGTGCTATCAGGACATGAAAGAGGCGCCATTTGTGTTTCAACAACGAGAGTTATTGATCCCGGAAGCACAAATCTGTGAATATCTTTCTAACTTTACCGAAGTAAGATTTGGCGTGGGAACGCAAAACTTTCACAAAAGGTTTTGCGAGGTAATGCAAAAGGTTTTGCGAGGTAATGCAAAAGGTTTTGCGAGGTAATGCAAAATTTTGCGAGGTAACACAATACTTTTGCGAGGGAACGCAAAACAGAAAAAAAATTCCCCATGTCCCCTAGGGGACTCCGTAAATCTCTGCTTCAATTATAGAAAATTCCTTAAACTGATCTAAACCTGAAATTAATATTTCTGTTGATAATTTCTTCAAAACACATTTTGAAATTTATGAAACTTTTACTCTATTATGAAAAAAGAAACTGAACACATACAAATTTTCTTTTTTTTTTTTTTGTTTCTTGTTTTTTGGGAGGACCTCCTTAAAATTCTAGCATAAAAACCTGAGACTTACTTGATCGTAGAGCAGATGTTGTGACTTCGATCTCACTGGCAGCTTGGTAAGGTTGGAATGCTGATGCTGCATTCATCTCACCGGCAAAAGGGTCTGGACTCTGGGTTCCTGTGGAGCTGGCGCTGGTTCCATCACCTCCATTGTGTGGGTCCTGCTCTTCGTACACTGCAACCAGCTGAGGAGACACATGAAAAACGAACTGTTTTACATACAGCAATCTTTTTTCCACACAATAATGTGTTAACTGGACAGCCAGTTAATCACCGACTGATTTAAGTTGCCAGGTTTGCTTTTTTCAAATAAAAAAGGTAATTTTTCCCATGATTCCTCATCCAGATGGAGGAAAATCCCCGTAGCATTCCATAATATGATAACCAGCACTCATTAACAGAGCCAAAAATCTGTCTTATAAAGGAAAACGTGTAACACATGAAGTATCACAGTATAACCCTTGGCTGTTTTCTTTTTCACCACAATGAAAAACTGTACGGGCCATGCAAGTTAGCCAAGTTATTTAAATTCTTTCAAGATTTTTTATTCTCACAAAACAACACAGAGGAATAATGCAGTGAGATACTGCCAAAACCTTTGGTAGTAGAGATGATATGCCAGTTCTAAGTAGCTTTCATTTGCTGCCGAATCTGTTGCTAAACCTCTCAGCAGAAGATTAACCTCCATTTGCATCCAGAACTGAGCAACCCAACAGTAACAGAATGATGCACAGCATGTTAGTAAGAACACTAGTACATATATCAGATACTTGGGATGAGTTCTTTTTAATATTTGGATCTGCTACCTGTACATCTATGCAGCCGCCCAAAAAGAATTATTCCTTTGTGTTTATAACACTGAATTGATCTGAAGGCAAAAATAACACATCTTTTTTTCCATGTATTTGCTCTATTTCATCTCCCAAACACTGCGAAATCTGCATATAAACAAGTTGAAATGTGTCTGCTCCTCTGTTTGATTTACTACATATTCAGAAGCAGAGTATTATACTTAAGTGTGTCTGTGTTTGTGTGTCTGCATATGAATTTATGCCGCTCTGCGTATCCGCCCGTGTGGTTTACGGTGGCTGTAATTCACAGCAATATCTCTCACGCTGGCTCTGCACAATTAAAGCAGCCTGGGTTTTTTTTCTTCTTCTTCTTCCCTTAAGATGTTTTGCTTCATGCCGCTGCCGTTTCTGAGACCCTCTTTATCACTGAAAGCTTTCATTTCAACCTAATCACGTTCCATCCCGATGTTAAAATTACATTCCTTAGATTGTAAGGGTTTATCACAAATGTGCTCAGCGCACCGGAGAGGCAATCAGAAAGGAAAAAAGATCTGCTGCTACAAAATATGAAGCCTGATAGAGGAGGCTTTATACTCCAGGCTTGCTTATTGGTAAATATGTGAATTCACAAGTGAAAGCATAAAAATATTATGATTTTACTTTGACTGCAAGCAAGCTTAATGATGGGTTAAATTATAAATAGTAAAGAATGTGGCGAGGGGAAAGTCTTCCCTACTTGTTGAGAAGTTGGCTCATTACACACGATGTTTTTATAGTGATGATTATAAGAGGGACAAATGTCTCAAGATGTAATGTTAACACAGACAGAAAGACGTGTCCCCTGTGGTGCTTACACTGGCCCAATGTTATGTGTGCAAGCCAATGAATCATTAGCGACGAAATAATCAGGCCTCCCATTCATGTGTTGCTGGGAGCATTTAGCAACTCGACAAGCCATGTTCCTGCCAGCTGCCCATTTAGAGAATTGGTTAATACCGTTGTTGCTGTCTGGGGAAAAGGTTATTCATTTTTAAGCACTTTTAAATCCTCATTAATTAAGTCCACTTTGTTGCTTCGGAATGTATTCACCACTACAAAACACTTGGTTGGAATCTGACATGAGAAGAAAAAAAACTGCATCATTGTTTCATTAAAAATGTGACTGAATTTAGAATTTATGAGTTGTGTATGGAGACAGCTTAATCTATAATAAGCAGGAAATAAGGAAGCATCCCATTATAATGGCCTCATATTAAAGATGGTTGATGAAGACAAAGTTAGTTATTTTCAGGATCTGTGGTAGGATTAAAAATTCAGTAAGATGACGTTTAATTTGAACAGAGGTACCTGTGTTGGAACGGCGAGCAGGATTAAAGCAGAGGACAGGAAAGCTTTTAAACCTCAGGCTCTTCCAAAGGTTACTGGGTTTTTAAAACGCTGGCAGTTTTTGGAAATATAGAAGTACTTCTGATATTTTGAGGTAAAGTTCTGAACGCTCAGTAAAAGTTCCCTTAAAGGTAAAGTGGAGGATAGAGGTGAGTATTGGCATGAGTGTTGCGATTCGATACATGTTGCGATACTTGGGTCACGATATTGCAGTATCACTATATATTGCCATATTTTGCCCAGCCATCAAAATGAAATGCGATAAAACAGCAAGTGTTGTATATTTTCATCAGAAAATATTGATTAGGTATTATTATCCATGTTGTTTGGGGTTTTCTTCCACTGTGACTGCCT